AATAATAATGTCCTGCTGCCTGAGTTACCTTCTCTCATTCTCCATCACACTTACATCTTCACACACCATCTCCTTCTTTCTCTTGCCATCTTACTCTGAAATGCGCTTGAAAGCCCTCCACACTAATTCTTCCCGATCTTGTTCGGCTGCTCCCATAAGCTCCTTGAACTCCAACCTGCTGACTGCACTCTCGACTGTAAATGAAGCTTTCAATTTCCTACCTGTTATCACCTCCTAGTGGTGTCCTCTCACCTCAGCAGCATTTGACTCTGTCATCGTCATGCCGATCCTTAGCCTAGCAACTTTGAATTTTTCAAACAAAGACTTCATTGGGAAAACTAGCTTAATTAAATGATTTTGCATATAGCCTATTTATGACAAATAACCGAGGTACATTAAGCCACTTTCTCATATATCGGCTCTCACGTGCTTCCATCCTTTCTATTGTGGTTAGTCCAACCTTATACACCTGTAGCGGCCACATTATTTTTGGTGGTAGTCCAAACTGGAAGTACCTTATACTTGCCTGATAATCCACACCCTTCAAATATTTTTCCAGTTCAGACCTTACCTTTCGTCCTGCTCAACTGTATCATTTCTCCCAGCTTCTTTATGGACTAATTGGTATAATAATCTCACAAAATAAAGGATATCTAAAAATATATAACAGAGGCATTTTCTTCACGTTTAATACAATGCTATTAAAAAACAAAATTTTATTCAATGGATACAGTAATCTTGAAATTAGTAGAGTCTTTAACTTATTTTATAATAAATTTTATAACTTATTAAGTAGTAAATATTTTATTAACAATTTGAATGCAATTATTACCAGCTTGGAATATTAAGTTTTTAGAGGGCGCTAGTATATAAGATCTTAATATAAACATTAGAGATATTTGTATGGAAAACAACAGCTTCTGACCATTCTTGGTTATATTTTAGATGAATTTGGTACTTGAAAGGAATTAAACCAAAATTCATTTAAAGTATGTTGATTAATTGAACAACACTTTCATCATATCTGGGTCGGAAAGGCTGACTTCAGGCAGCTGGGCGTGTCTCAGTTTACTCAGATTTGCTTGAAAGATAAAATTAAAAGTTCTTGTTAAGGGAGGAGGTTGAGGTACCACTACCACAGCATCAGAACTATAGAGGTGGGTTTATAACATCATATCTGGAAATTAATATTAGTAGATCTATAAATGAAGAAAAAAAAAAAGAGGGCGGAGGTTAAGTGATAATTTTTATGCAAATCGAGGGTGGTTGATGTTATTAGATTTCTATCTTTATGGGTAACTATCAGTGTCATGACCACAACCGGCTAGAAACGGACGTTGGATGTTCCAGCATCTAGATCCTAACCCCTTATTAAAGTTGTAGCTTGCTTTCTAGTTTTGTATCTGTTCTTTTGGTTGTGTTTGATAGACAGAATATCCCCAATTCTATAGCTGGAAACATTTCCACTTTAAAATGGCTTAATTTATACAAAAGTATAATTTTATGTTGTTTTGTTACTATTTTGCAGGCCGGATCATATATTTTGTTGGTACATACATCTATAAGTAAAATGGTTACATTTTTACATGATTATCTCGTCAGGGCTGTGCAGAGTAATTGTCTGTACACATTAGATGTAGTAGTAATACAGATAATTGTGAAATATACATATATTCAGTCAAATGAATAAAATGTGTCATATTTATAGTAAGGTTTTTTTTTCTTTCTCAAATTGGATACTTTTTTTGGGAAAATCGCAGCAAGTCAAAATAACCATAGGAAATAATTTTTTAAGTTGTTTCTATGTTAAAGCTATGTTTGTTCTTGATTGAGAGTAAGCCCACTTCAACATACTATTGAAGAATAGGGTTGTTTAAATGAACTTCAGTCTTAACTCTTTTTAGGTACAAAACACTTTGAGTTATTTGCCTGGTTTAGCTAAGCTTTTAACCATATTTTCTCAACAGCCTAATAGCACTTCACTATGTTTAGTCAAAACAAAATTTGTGTTTTGCAACTTATATAAAGTTTATCATGCAAATTAAATGTTATATGATAACCATATTTAAAAATTAAAACACATGTATTGTTTTGGTTTCTTAATTGATTGGAGTCAAAAGCAAAATTTACATTGTCAGCAGCAGTCTTGAAAAAGAAAAACATTGAAAAAATAGCAACACAACAGCTTTTGACCCTTTTTAAACTGGCTTGAGACTCTCTGAAAGGACCAACATGTTCACAAAGCTCTCTAAGGCTTGGCCAATCACAAACAGAAATCTAGAAATTCTACTACTAATTCACATAGGTTTCAGATCACGATATGTGATCTAGAGTTTAGATTTAAAAAAATAAAACCTAAAAAAACTGCTTCTGTACAACTATAGGTGAATTTAGAATAGGTTATCAGCCTACCACAAAATTAAGATTTTAGGTTTCTTGCAATAGTTCTTAAGTGTTTAATGTTGTATATTTCCCCATTCCTTGTTGAAAGCTATGTAGAAAATTTAATCTTTAGTGCCAGTTTCTGTTAAGTGTTATATATTTTGTTTTGTTATTTTTGGAATTGACTCTAGAAGTGTGCCCTCTTTCATTCGGTTTTATTTCTATGCAAGACATAGGCTCTGAAACTAATATATGCTTTAAAATGTTTGTGTAAGAAAACAACTGGTAAATATCAGTAAAATTTTGGACATTCTCAGACTTTTATGTGATTTTATGTTGTACAGACTTGTATGTGTAGTCTCCATTCCTTGTGTCAAGTTCTGAATCTGAAATTCTAAATATAAAGTATGTAGGTATTATACTAAGTTAAAAAAGTTATTAAGAAGAAAAGGTACTGACTAATGAATATTTCATTTAAGGTTTGCATAACAGGGAAGAACTATTTAAATGCACTGATTTCTACACATGTATTAGAAAGGTCCATTTTATAACAGGAAGATTGATCTGACAGGAAAATTGTGAAGTAAATCTGAATTTAGCTAGATGACTGAGTTTTAAGTAAAGATACAAACTGACTGGATATGTAAAAAAAAAAAATTGAAGCAGTACTTATAATAAAAAACAAATAAACATTATGTGCATACTTTCTATTGGATCACTGAATTAATTAACAGTTAATATCCCTCAACATGATGTTCCACATTTCAAACCAAGAAGAACTCTCTGTATTCGGACTAAAACTGACACTCCATACCAAGCAGGTAACTTTGGTTTGAACCTTCAGCAACAAGCATCATCACATGATTGGTCATTCTCTTATAACAAAATTAAGGCTGTAAACCCTAGATATCTACTTGGTCAGTAAAGAACATTGCTGTTATTTACCTGTTTCTATGCAATAAGTGAATTTGCAGCAATCTTCTTAAAAAAAATTAGGTACTATCTGTTACAGAACGACAAAGAAATAAAGTTAACTAGAATGAAACAACTCGGTAGTTTTCTGGACAGCGTGTTTATGCCAAAACTGCATAGAAACAAACTAAAACTTTTTAAAATTCCTATATTAATAAAAACATATCACAACAATAATGTATCCAGATAGCCCATTGTGTAGCTTTGTGCTTAACTACAAACAAACAAATCATTAACATCACAAAGGGAGGTATTCTGTAAGTGTAGGCTAGTTTTATTTTGCTGAGGTTGTATTGAGCTATATTACATATCTTTACATCAGTAGGATTTACTTAACACCCAAGCTATGAACCAGAAACATAGTTTTGGTGGGTTGATTTCCTAACAAGTTAAAGCTCTTCGGTACTCTCTTGTTTTCAATTCTGAATATAAATTTGAAGTGCATGCCAGCATGCCTGAATTCACACTTGTTTCAGGCTATGAAGAAATAAAGCCCATCCAAAATCTCACACAAAACATGGTAGTGACTGTACATGTTGCACAGTACAAGATCTGGTTCCCCAGATCTTTAAAGTCATTTTCATGAGCAATAATTACCTTTATTATGATGGTTTCTGCTTATAATCACAGACAAATATCAAATTGGTTGCAGGAACTAGTCTGGTGTGTGAAGGGTGAGACAGCAGTGGCAACAGTAATAATAGTTGTGGCGAAGCAGTAGCACCTAGGCAGCATCACCAGCATGGCACATGAGAAAATGTAAACCAATCAATGGTTTCATCTCTGTTTTAGACCAAAGAGGATCTTTTATTCACAAGTGCTTTTTATTCATCCAGTCATGGTATGCCAACTTGAACACTTTTACTATTTGTGCAAGAGGAACACAATGTGGCTAACCTTCATAAACTTCACACCTTTTTGGTTGAACACTACTGAGAGGCAAGTTCTCTTGGTAGTAAAGTGTGGTTTTGAGGTTAAAATATCAAGCCCTTTATCACAGTACATTTTTGTTGTTTCAACCTGAATACTTGAAACAGTGACACCCCTCTGTAGCCCACCCAATTTCCCTAATTAAATCACATCCACTAGCAAAGTGGGAGCTAATAACATTTTCTAAACATTTTATGAGAGCAGTTATATGGGCATACATATTCAAATGTCTGTTAAGTTGTGAATTACTTGTACACATATAAGCTGTAAAAGTTGTTAGTTGACTTTATTCCAAGTCTTTTTTTTTTTCAATTTTTCATTTGAAATTTATTGTATTGCTTCACATAAGAAGCTTAAAGTTACAGAGGCTTGTAAAGAGTGTGGGTATCCTGTAGAGATGTCACTGTAGAAAAATGGCTGGAATATCCAATAGGTGGAGAAGATACCACTTGGTTCTTGGGACATGCAGGGATAAAACTGTGCACACATATACAGAATCAGATAATACCTAAATTATGTAGATTTATTGTATGGTAGGATGTTATGCAATTACTTGACTAGAGCAAATTCCTTAACCATTTGATTACAATTATCAGTTAAAGAGTAAAGTTTGAATATTATTCTAGAGTTGAAGAATAACATTTTTATTGGATATTGTACTTATTCCTATTCACTTGTATTTGATTTGATAAAGTGAAGTTAAACATGAAAAAATCTTAAACTGTGATATTCATGATTTTATTGACAGTTTAAACAGATACATGACTAAAACAAGATTTCAATTGTTAACAACACAGTTTTGTCACAGCAGGAAAAATTACTAATGCAAAAACTACTGAGAAGAAATAAATAGTTTACAAGAAATGTGAGACTGTGTTAATAACAGAAATTATTCCATCACTTAATACTTGAACACTTAAGATTTTCACTTTGCTAATTGCTACAGAAGTGTCTTGAGCAGTTACTTCAGAGTGAAATGTTTTAATCAACTTTGACAAAGTAGAGTTTAGTCAGTTGCTATTAGGTACAGGAATTTGATTATTACGCTATAAACATGAAAGTACAAAACACTGCAATGTAAAATGAACAAATCAAACAGTATAAAAATACAAAATGTAATCAAGTTATAAAAACAACAAACAGTATTTTTTTGAATTAAAATGGTGGACAGTGGATATCTGAATTCATACACGTGGGTTTTTGGCACACATCAAACTAAATTTTGACACCTAAAAAAGACCTCAGTTAGGACTATATGTTTGAATTAGCAGCATTCATACAATAATTTTATTTTTCATTCACTTTTTATTACATTAGATAAACTGTAAATTTAGTTGTTTTTTCTACTATTCTGTTTTTAAAGTACTACTATTAATGATGATTATTTTAAACCCATACAATAGCATTTATTATTATATTGAATATGGCATGATAAAAGATGTTTATCTATATTAGGTTCACATGGATGGAATATTAAATAATTTTACCCAATTAGTCTAACTACTTCTGTACTGTTTCTAATTAAAGCTGATCTTTGCTTAAATCTTCAGGTATTTTTGTTCAATACAAAGTGATGACATTTTTATTTAAAAAACAGTCGCAAATGTACATTAAAAACTTGATTCTTAATTAATGTGAATTAAACAAAAAGGAACTTTGAAATGATAAATAAAATTTTTCAGGCTGCAAATAATTATAAGTTTTATATGTCAGAATTAATGCTTTAATTTCAGGTTAAAGAAAAATGGTCTATTTTAAAATTATAAAAGGGGGAAGGAAGGTTATATATAAAGTTAAAAATACATAAGAGACAAACCTACATTTGAGTATATATATAAAGAAAGATTATGACCAATGATGTGCTAATGAACACAATATTTCAAACTGATATTGTACCTTTAACTAAACATACTTTTATATGTTTTCTCGTGCTGATTCAGAAACATGAAAATGCACATCTTGGCAATATGCATGGAAGCTACAGAAAATTAGGTATAATTATCTATTACTAGGAAGATTACTTGAACAAATAATCAATGTTATGACCAAGTTATTTAGTACAACATTAGACTTGAATCTCACATTATTTTTGCATAATAAAATTGTTTTTGTATCTTAGCCATTAGTCTCATGCTTCAAAGAAAAAATCTTTTGTTATTTTATATTGAAAATATTCCACTTTTATAATAACCTCTTCAATGAATTTTAAGTTGTATATTTGTAACAGTTTTATTGCAGAGGATAATTAAAATACTAATGAATGATTCTGTACAAGTTATTAATCAAAGTACTAATGTAATAAAAATACTTTGATATATTATGAATACTAGATTTAAAAAAATTCAAAAATTTTGAATACTGATCACTGAAACGAGTCAAGCAGGGATAAAAAAAAGCAATAAGTCAAATGCATAGTTTACCAATCAAAAGTAGATGGACATGGCTATTCAAAAGTCACATTCTGTCTAAATCTGTGCTTTATATTCAGTGGATAATATATGAATAGAAGATCTGTCACATCACTTTTCGTGTACTCCTATATGGGGTATAACTTTTGTACTTTTGAATATTCTTTTATGCTTCAATCTGGTACGATTATTACCACAATGTGTTTTTAAAAAAATCATAAAGCTTGTATGAAACCTAATAAAAATAAAACTTTAATAGTTTAGTGCAACCAAGATTAAAATACATTTCATTAAAATTAATCTTTTCCACAAAATTATCTATTGATAGCTAAATATTAATATTAATTGCTTCAGGTAGTTAGTGTCAAATGTATTGATAGAAAGTGTAGCTAATTATACCGTAGTCACAATTTAAAGGCAGAAATGCAGTGAAAGAGTGAAACTTGGTTAACATTTTACTAAACATCTCAAAACCTGAGATGTTACATGGTAGAATGGTTTGATTGAAACTATGAAAAGGATATGAGCTCATCCGTAAACTTCATCACAGTTCCCTGAGTTCAGTTATGAATTTAAAATACTAGAACATAACCATGTACAGATACTAGGTACAATTACACAACTTGTGTATAAAATATAAGGATGAAGTTTCATCAACTGTGTACTAAAATATATATATTTTGGTAAAGTAGATTTAGTCACATACAGTTGCTATGTAATGTATTAACTCTTTTGAATATCAATAAAGTAATGTTTCAAAAAATATGAATTTTTAAACTTGTTTCTCAAAAGATCTAATTGTTGTATTCTGCTAACAGACTGACACAACAGATATAGAAGTAAGATAGAAGTTTGAGGAAGAATAGTGGAGGCTTCTTTGGAAGACCAGTATATGCATGTGGAAAAGATGGTTAAATTCACAAGAGCCATAGTGATTTGGTCCAAAAATATATGCACTACTAAGCCTATAACATCATCATTAATTCAACGTCTTAAGTTGATGGTCCCATTACATAAAGTTTAAGATAATTGTAATTAAAAAAATAAACACTTTATGGTAAACAGTGTACGAGACATTTAAAAAATAGTTGGCCCTTTTGGCACTAAGGTTTTATGTACGAAATAACACTTTCTGTTGAAGAATAGAGGAGTTATTATGTTGTTAGGAAGTTTTTACTTGTTGGCTAAAACAGAGATGGTTAAGGAGTTCCTTGGCTGAAGCACGCTTGTCAGACTTTACTTCTAGACATCGAAGAGCCAAATTTTGGGTTACATCGGAGAGGTACGTTGGAATAACAGGTGGCTCAGTAGAGCTAGCAATCTAATACAAAAAACAACAACAAGACAAACGAATGCCTCAGAATCTAGAACTTTTATGAGCATGAAAGATAAATTCATTTCAGAAATACAGAAAATGTATTTGATAAAATATAAATGGCATATGTTATTAAAGTTTAAAATTAAGATTTGTGGCACTTAGACAGTTACATCAGAGATGTACTTGTAATTTTAATAACTATTATTTTAAAATATATCTCAAATAGGTTTACTGAGTTATACTGTCTTTATTTGTGATGCTTTATGAAAAACCAATTTAACATTGTAATGTTAGTTTGAGATACCCAGTGTCTTAAAACAAACATATTCACCAAATATTTCATATTAGTCATTAGGATATCTATAATATTTTCTCAAACATATTTGTTAGTTATATAGTGTTTTTTATATAAAACAACAATAAACATAATTAACTATCCTTGAGAATATTTCTGTAAGCATCTAACAATGTAAATACTATTTGAAGTGATCACTTAGCCTTGCACATGACAATGAGTTACATTTCTAACAACCTTGAATTATGTGTAGATTGAATATTACTATGATTTGTTCCCTGTGTATGGATATGTTCAGCAGTGTAAACAAGTACATCCATGTGCACTGAATCAAGCTTTATAAGTGATTTTGTGTGGACGTAAAGTAAGGTGGCAACTAGTATTTTAAGGTAGTGCCAACTTTTTTGACACGACTGAAACTAGTATAGTTTCTGTTGGTGCCTGTTAGTAAACTTGGATGTGTAGCGTAATTCACTTAACTAATGTGTTGTGTTTGCCTCTCAGCACATCGATGAAATAAGTCTAGTTTTCCAATATTGTTAGTTCAGTGTCAAGTTTATGTAAATATGGCTAAGAGTGATTTTGAAGATTGGTCAGACACTGTAGTAGGTGCTGGAATTGTCAAAACTTATAATGGAAACAAATGACATGTCATGAAAAAAACTTACTATTTGACAAAACATTTGCTAGGGTAGCTAACTATAAAACATTATTTAAAGTTCCATAAAAATTTAGAGTTTAAAACTCGTAAACTTGTTGCTGAAAAAAGGATAAGAAGCATAGTTTTTTTTAATCCAAAAGGATGATAAATGATTATACAGTGAGGGTTGATCACATTGTGTTGCCCTTGAAACTCCTTCCCATGTCATCAATCATGCTCAATCTGATGGCCATAATTATAAATTGTATTACCCAGCATTGCAATTTCATTGTAACAAATTTCTGTGAAGGAAGGTAAAATAATCTTAAACAACATATTGTGACAAGTTTTCCACACATTTTCTGGCTCCCAAGATAACATTTACATAGACAGGAGCTGCATTAAGGGACATGACAGGCATGTTGCTAAATTGTATTGCTAGCCTATGTGACTCAACTTTCTTGGGCTATCTTTTTCATGATAAATAAAAATTAATTTCAAGGAATGGCTAGAAGCTTCTGAACTTTTCGGTAGAGTCTTCATCAACTCCAGATTTTTGTATGTTATCTTTTTAATGGTACCAAATATACCCAGCTTCATTGCTACAGCTTTCTGGGTCAGAACTAGGGCTATCTTTTTTAAGCATAGCCTACACTTTGCAGATGAAGGTAACTATCCCACCTTCGCAAAAGATGTGATTTTGGAGTATGCTTTGCTTTTTAATTTCTAGAGAGAATATTGAAGGCTCCTTGCTTCAGAGTATTGTATCTTTTGGCTCTATACCATTTAAAAATCTTGTCATAGGATGTTCTTCCTTGAAAAGGGCCACGATGTTATATGTTATACACAAGACGTAAGTTGTATCCATGTTAGCATTGCACATTAAATGGATGGGAATACCCAATGAAGCAAATATACATTTGTATGGCTTGCATTTATAGCAACATATGCAAATTGCTTTTATAAAATGTGGTTAGTTCTCTATAGTATCTTTCAGTATTATTATTAATGTAAACAATTTTAAAAAAATTACTTTAACAAATGGATAAACTACTTCAATGAAGAAACTCTAAAATTCATTAATTAAGCATATTTTAAAACATCTTTAGTAAGATCTTCTGATAATCATTCAAAATTAGTTTCTAGTTGACAAAAGAAAAGTAAATTAACCTTAAAAATTAATGCTAGGTGGTTAGAAAAATTACTGGCATCCCAGGGAGGTTTTGTAGTAGCCATTTCAATCAAAACGCATCCTACACTCCAGACATCACAAGAACGGCCATAGTTTTCGCCACGTAACACCTGTGATGTAAATAGTTACAATTATGATTGAGAAAAATGCATTCCTGATTATATAATTAAACTCCAATCAAATAGTCATCTGTTGAATTTATAGTAACTAATGGATGGTGCAAAATGCCTATGCTAGAACCTCATCTGAAACTAACAAATTGAATAAAAATCATATCTATTAATAACATACAAATTAAAAGTTATTTTGGACTAAACTTTACAAGTGTTGAAAAGCTGATATTAGTTTTTGACAGATTTTTATAAAAACTTTCTACTACAGTTCTTCCTAGTTCACGATATATCAAGAGATGACCTGTACTTTTATGATGGGGGTACATACAGTCAAGTCAAATTGTGTTAATATAATAGCATAATGTTGATATTTCTTATGACAAAATGCATGCAAAGATCAAAAGCACTAAACTATTACAAAATATGCTGGGAGGTTATTTAATATTTGTAATTTTTTCAGTTTCTAATATTTGTCCAAACAACTTGAAGTTACCACTCTTAAAGTCACAGTTGAGGAATAACAATAATTGTTCTTTGTTTCAGAGTGAATCATTTGTTACCTCTGGTGCCATGAAAGCTACAGTTCCCAGTAGTTGACCCTGGAACTCCCCAGCTACTGTGGCATGTGATACAAGTCTAGCTGATGCTCCAAAATCTGCAATCTTAAGGTGTTGACCTTTACTGTCAACTAGAAGATTTGCACCTGTGATATATGAATTAAACTTTCTAAATTACATCACATCAGAATATGAAACTTTATGCTTATGTGGTAACATATATGTGTGTGTAAAAATGACAAGACCATTAGCTATATATATATATAAGTAATTTATTTTATATCAATATGATTATACCAACCTATGTGAATATTTTTTCTAAGGAAAACTATCTTAGAGTTGTTAGAAAGCACCCATTTGACAAATAATTTCCTAAACTAAGGCACAGATATCACAAGAAAATTACCTTTCAAATCTCTGTGAAGAATTTGGTTGTCATGGAGATATGCTAGCCCAGCAAGTACCTGCTGGGTGTACTTAACAATTACATCTTCAGAGAATGGTCCATAATGTTCCAAAAGTGAAGCTACTGATCCTCCTGTTAAATAAAAAACCCAAATCATAAGAGATCAACCTAAGAAATACTGTAAAAATGCTTTGAATCTGTTTTAAGAAACATATAGACAGCTTTGTGTGTCAAGCCAGTGAAACAACTAAATTCTAAGCTTTATAAAATATACTAAGTAATATCATATAGAAAATGAAACACAAGGAAAATTAAAACAATAGTTCTTCTCATGTGAAAGTCTTGAATTAAAACAAAGCAACCATTATTAAATATGAATTTTAACTAGAAAACAAGTGATAGAAGCTGGATAAAAATAAAAGGATAAAGATAATAACACTTTAATAGGATTTATAATAATAGAGGGCAAATTATACATTTTAAGGTATCTTCTGCATAAGAAATTGATATATCTCAGGAATTTTTCTTTTTATCATCACTTCACAAAATACTTAACTGCCATTATCCTGTGGAAACCTAGATATGATCACAACTAGGATGCTCTGAAAGGTTAATAATTGTTTCTAGAAGTTCTAACACTTACCTGCCATCCATTCAATGAAAACATTGTAACAGGCCCCTTGACATGTGGCTCCTAGGATACGGAGGACATTTGGATGACAAAGTTTGGACATCATAGAAATTTCTTTGTTAATATCCTCAACAGCTTTCTCTTGTTCTTGTTCTAACTTACGAGAGAAGGGCACTTGTTTGACAGCCATTAGTGCCCCTGTTTTTATGTCACGTGCTTGGTAGCAGTAACTAAAAGCTCCTCTTCCAAGTAATGGGCCTTTCTTCCAGTGTAAATCTTCTGTGTACACTCCTGTGTGTTTTTGGATGTCCTATCAGTTAGATAAAGAACACTATGAAACAAGGTAGGTTAAGAAGAGCCCTAGGGTATAATATGTAATTAGGGTATCTTGTATTTATTTCAAGTATACAGTATAATACAGATATTTATAATACAATATTGGTTAGGTATAAAAATCTCCAGGAAACAAAGTATGTTATATACAGAATATAACACGTACAGAGCTATAACTTATAAAGCCTTAGAATAGCTACAAGGTATGGTACTAAACTTGAATATTAAAAAAGAACACACAATAGTCAAGTATCAGGTTAAAATATATACATTTTTTATGAGAACTGTAATTGGCACTAGATAGCTCTTGCTTCACATGTTTGTAAGTTTCTAATGTTTTTCATCCTCACTTATTTGAACTAATAACTTATTAAATAATGAGTACTAAATAGTTGTAAGTTTTTTATATACTTAATAACAAAATGACAAATGATACTTAATAATTGCTTGAGAAAGGGATGCTTCTTTGGTTTTACAGAGAGATGTTCGTGATCTAGGGTAATGATATAAGGTTGAGAGCATAGGCCTTATATCTGTTTCTACCATCATTGATAGTATTCTCTGAGGTGGCCTTATTTATGGACTGTTGCTCAGTATTGAATATTTCATGGCAAAATCTTTTGCACAACACACTGAGGTCAATGTCATTCCCTCTGCTTTAAATGATTTCTAAAGTCCATCAACTGTTAGTGAATGACAATTTCTGAAGGCCCATATGAACAACTCTGAAGCTTGCATTTTGTAGAGGAACAGGTATATTGACTTGGAAGTCTGGCTGGATGTTTGATGGCTTTCCTTGTGGTATAGTGGTGTCAGAGCATTAGCCTGATAGCATGCAGAGTTCACCTTAGTATTTTCCTCAACCTTCTTGATGTTTAATTTATCATTACGACTGTAAACTGCAACTGCCATAGATTCTTTGAAAAGAAAAAACTTTTACAACATGCTTTGGACTATTTTAATATGTTGTCTCATCAGCAGAATGATAACAAATTGCCCAAGCTGTTCCAGACACTTAAAAAGACACATGTTTTGTCCAGTGCGACAATGTATTTCTGTTTGCTCATACAACTTTTGACAGCTATGTACTGTGTGAGAAGCTTGTGAAAACTACTCATCTACTAGCATTGCTTTTGTAGACCTAAATTCAGTTGAATTATGTTGTTTACAGTTTCAAAGGAGGTTCCTACTTTAACATAACAATGTTTAGGGATGACAAGGGACCTATTGGTCCATCTTGGCTATCCCATCCTCTAAACTAAACTAAAACTATTAAAAAAAATCTTAAAGCCAGCCTTTATCATTCATATAGTTATCGAGCTTTCTCATAAACTCACTTAAATTTACCACCTCCACAACATCTGAAGGCAATCTATTCCAAAGGCCAACCACCCTGTTATAAAAATAAAACTGTCTTAGCTAAAGATAACTCCTACCTTGCCAAAATTTATACTTGTGTCCCCTAGTCCTACTATTCTCATTATTAAGTATGAAAAAGATGATGTATCAACACTATCAGTTCCCCTTTACAATCTTAAACATGTCAATCAAATCCCTTCTAACTCTTCTTTTTTTCAAGAGAAGACAATTTCAAGGATCTTAATATATCCTCATATGACAAACCCTCCATCCCAGGCACCATTCTAGTAACCCTCCTCTGAATCCTTTCCAACAATTCAATGTCCTTCCTCAGGTAAGGAGCCCAAGACTGAATACAATACTCCAAATGTGGCCTAAACAATGAAATTATAACATTTTTTAGACTTGTATTCAATATATCTGTAGATACAACCTAAAATCTTACTTGCCCTACCACTAGCAACAACACACTGCTTGGTTGGCTTAACAGAGTGATCAACCATTATACTAAGATCCTTTTCTTTCATGATCCCGTTAAGATTATTCCCATCCAAATTACACTTATAATTAAAATTGTGATAACACACATGCATTGTCTTGCATTTATTATAATTAAAGCCCATCTGCCATTTATTTGCCCAACTCACTAGATAATCTAAATCCTTTAGTAAAGCATCCTCCTCACAGCCAACAACACCCAAGACCTTAATATCATCAGTAAATTTAAGTAATTTATTGATCATTTCTTCATCTATGTCATTGTTGTAAATCAAAAAGAGCAAAGGTACTAAGACCTGAGGTACCTCACTAGTAACATTAATCCAGTTTGACATGAACTCCATTTGTAACTACCCTCTACTTTCTTCCACCCAGCCACTCTTTAATTTCATTAGCTAACTTATCCCCCACATCTATAGAGATAATTATTTTTACAAGCCTTTTATGTGGCACCTTGTCAGTCTTTTTGAAAATCCTAATGCACCAAATCTACACCCTTACCCTCATCTACATAAGTAGTAAACTTTTCAAAGAATGTAAAAAGATTTTTAAGGCAAGATATTCCCTTAGTGAAACCATGTTGATTATTCAATAAAATTTTTAACTTTGTTAAATGACTTTGCGAAGCATCTTTTATTAGACTTTCCAAAACTTTCCCAACAACTGTAAGACTAATAGGCCTATAATTATTGGGATAATTTTTATAACCTCCCTTGAAAAGAGGAGTGACATTACCTAACTTCCAATCCCTTGGCACCAGCCCACTATTCAAGGACTAACAAAAAACAGTAGCAACTGGCTCACATATCCAATCTTTAACCTCCTTCAAAACCCTTGGGGGGGAAATACTACCTGACCAAGGAGCCTTACATTTTTTAAACTTCCCAATTTTTTCTTAACAAGCTCAGCATTAATGCAATCATATTGTTTGACCCTGAATCCATCTATCAACTGTTTAAGATGAGGAATACTGTCTAAATCTTCACTAGTAAAAACTGGAGAAACAGCAGAATTTAATAACCCAGCTATTTCACAATGATCACATACAAGCCCTCCTTTATCATCCCTCAAGAGTCGTACTGCCATCCTAACATTTTGTTACCCTTAATGTACTTAAAGAAATCTTTACTGTTGATTTTTACATTTTCAGCCAACCTTTGTTTTTCATACACCCCATTCCCATTATATCAAAATTCTCCATCCCTACCAGTGCCCTAAAGTCATATATTTTATTTCTTATAATTCTAGCATTACAATAGTAACAATTAAGCCTATCCTTAGAACTACTTCTATACTCATTTCCTATGATAAACATTTCTCTACATCTAATTTTTCTTTGCATTTAGTTTATCATGGCTCTCACCACTTTCTAGTCCTAGTTTAAAACTTCCCTTACAAATGAGTTAATAGTCCTTGCAAATAAGCCAGATCCTACACTATTTAAATGTAAACCACCCATTCCAAAAAGCTCCCTTCTCCCATTGAACTAATCCCACAAGTCCAACCAGCCTATCTTCTTATCCTTACATATTAACCTAAGCTTAGCATTTATCCCTAGTGACCTACTCATAATTTCATCACCACAATTAATTTTTGGCAGTATCCTTGACACGATTAAGGATGGCTTTTTTCTTTAAATGCTTTTACCCCTTGTACTTATTAATTAGCTCCTCTGACCTATTTTTCCCTACATCATTAGCCTCTACATGGACAACAAACTACATCATTGGTAGTACCCTTTATTATATCTCTTTCTCTGTCAGTTATATCCTCCACCTGTGCCCCTGGGTAGCATTATCTAATTCTTTTCTTTTTGTTTACTCCACGTGCCTTGTCAAGGAATCACCTATAACTATGACCTTAAGTTTATCATCCATATCCTTCTCTGACCATTTTGTTTGCTTTCCCTCCAATAGTTCCTGATCTGCACAAACAAGGGCTGAAATCTGTTGCTGAACATAATAGGCTCATTACAATTAAGTCTAATACTTTTAGATTTAGCCCTAGTAGTACTCCTTCTAACTTCCTGGAAGTCATTGTTAGCTGATGTATACCTTGCATGTAAAAGCCTAAGCTCTTCTTGAGATCCTGCTGCCATTTACCACAGTTTACCCTTCTTATTATCTATTGCTGCTACTTTAATCAGGATAGCCTTAAACTTCTCCTCCTACATACTAGTAGTACTAGCTTCCTTAAAAGTACATACCAGTCTGGAGTTCCCAAGTAAAACCCACCCATTGTACCCACCACACCTAATAAACTGTGAATGCTTAACTCCAACACTAGTCCTAACCACTGTATTTGTAGCCTGGAAGTAAATACTCAGTGTTAAATGTAAATACCAGTAACCTATTGCCAACACTGTTAAGCCTAACATTTTAGAGTCAAATATTTTAGTTTTTTATCACTACTTTATGTTTACACTAAAGTAATTAAGTTTATCTTTAATTTTATAGAAGTGGTGAATAACTAGTCTTTACTTTATTTGATGTTTACGTAATACTAATATTATTATAATTAATAGCAATAATACAATGTATTTAGCCTAATTTATAACCTACCTGTGAACTAAATTTAAACTAATGGATCTAGACTAAAGCCAAGTATACAAGATAATCCTTAAATCATGAAGAGACAATTAACTAGTCTTTAGATTGTATTTGTTTAATAAAATAATGTATTTAATAACCTGTTTTATGATTTACCAGTAAGACAAATTACTGCTAAGCCTAAAAGCCGTTGTGTTCTTGTTTTTTTTTCTGGTTAGAGGATGTTGAACTTTTTTTCACAATAATTTTAGTGTGTGACTGCTGGCTAGTCATGAAATAACTTGTTTTAACCTGGTGATATCATGCTCTCCCTTGGTTTACCAATATCCATTTATTGGAAATGCTACAATTTCATGTTTTGCATGCTTTTTCTAAACATTAGATGGAGAACTTCATATCAGAAAGTCCTTTAATGTGACCTTTCCAAGAATCAATTTTAGGCACCATCCACAGTTGCAAATCACAATACTTCTACTGCATTTTATCAACAAGGTTAAAACTTTTAATCTGTGTAGTTACAGGCAATGGGGATACTATGGGCAAATCGTGAACAACCCTCTGTACCTCTAGAATGTAGGAATTTTTTTTTTTAATACTGAAATGTTGATACAATTGTGATCAACATTCAAAATAAGTATAATCTCAAACATTTTACAAGTTTAGAAAAAAATAAACTTTTATAAAAATTCACCTGCATTTAATTGTAAACAAAAGTAAAATCAATAACAGTCTCTTCTAAAGATAACACATATTTCCAGACTATTGACAGATAAAATTAAGAACAATGAGTCTCCTATATAGGCTCTTTGTAAATAATTCTAAGGTAGTGGTTTGCTTAAAAAATAAACAACTTGACCAGATGAGAACTTACATTTGTGTGAAATTCAATGATTACTTCATCTACTGGGTTATTTTTGTTGTATTCAGATATAAATCCCTTTGCTTCTATTCCTTTACCAAGTTCTAGTATGTGCTTACTGAGATAAAACCCACCACTACTCACTGGTAAGCCTATAGAAAAGAAAAATGAAATCAATAATACTTTGTATTCTTGAGTTATGTTGTTTAACAAATGAATAACATAATTTCCTTATAACAACAAAAACGAATCAAAGCTGGACTTATTTTTGGAAAAATGTTTTATGTGTGTTAGAAATATTAAATGGTTATGCTTAAGGAAATAAAATATTTATTTTAAAATTTGATTTAGTAACAAATATATTTTAATACAGTTTTTGAGTTAATGATATTAAACAGCTCCTTTGTGCAAGATAGAAAATTAAACTTCAAATGCCTAATTTTCTGGCTATAGATTAAACACAACTACATCAGTAAAAGAAAGGTTTTGTTTGATGTTTTTTTTAACTTTTAGTCTTTGTCTGTAGGTTAGATCTAGTGGAGTTGAGCCACAGGGCTACGCTCCCCATAATTTTCATCCTGTTTACAAATTTGAATTAGTTTTTTGGGATATTGCCAATATCTTATAATTTTTATAAAGTCTCAATGCCACATAAATTGACTTCAACCCATTTAAACCTTCCTTTCTCAAGTCTCAATGAAACTGAATCCTCATCCAACAGAGAAGTTTTTCTTGACGATGTTGAGCTATTGCTCGTTATAATTTTCCTATACTGAAAATGTATTTCCGATAGGTACTTACCTTTTCTCACATAAATAGCTATTCTTCTTCAGTGCTGCCCTCTATATGCAAACAATGTTTTTGCATGCCACAAGCCTTGAGCTCTCACATACCCCATGATCAACATGGTTCAACTGCATCTCACATTTAAATCATCATGCCACAACCCTCCTTCAATAGAAGTGCAACACACCCTCCTGATGCATGTGACTCCCCTCTATTCGATTCTACCGAACTATCACTTCGAGTTTTGGCAGAAAATGGAAGCACCTGTTTTCAGTGGGGAGGAAGGGTGGGAAGTGTGAGAGGAGGTAAGTGCCTATCAGAAATACATTTTCAGTATAGGAAAATTACAACTTGTGATAGGTACATTACTTCCTCTTATATAAATAGGTAGAATCCCACATTACATAGGTGGGAGACCACACCACTTCTGTACCAGGTATACCCTTCACCCAGTGTGAAAACAGGTGACACAGACATGGTGAAAATAATGATTGGATAGGTTTCTGAACCACCTGATATCTGAATCGCAATCCCTTAGATGACAGTAATGTGGGTGAGAGTAAAAAGGATGTGCTCCAAGGTGTAGTGTGGCTAGGACACGACAGACTGTACACAGCAAGTCAGCTGCATCCAAAACCCAGCACCAGGAATCGACATTCATGCGAGGATAGGATGAGGATCATACCATCAGTAAGTCAACTACAATCCAAAACCCATCCAATGAGAATCGACATCCATGTGGGGGGTAGGAAAGAGGATCATACCCACCAATCTGTGAATAGGGCACATGATAGCAAAGTGAGAAAACATTTTACCGATATGGGAACCCGACATCTGGATGATCGGAATAATAAAGATGTCCCTGTATTGTGAAATAGCCCACTCAAAACCAATCTGACGGGAACCACCTCCAGCACAGTAACACCCTCGGTATATTAAAATCTCCAAGGGATAGCATAAGAGAAAGAACCATAGTAACCTACAAGTTCTTCCAGTGTGATGCACAACACTATAGCAGTGTACAAGAGTCAAATTGAGTAAGAGAACATAGATACTTGTAATACACATGTGAGGACTTATGTTGATTGATCTAGCTCTGAATCCAAAACCCAGCCACTGTGAACCAACAACCATGTGGAGGTAGGATGAGGGATCCCAATCAAAGGGTGGAACTGTAATTTTTACAGCTCACTCCAAAGCTACAACATCCCCTTGGATAGACCCATTCAGCGATGGAGCCTCATATTGGAGGACATCTCATCATCCATACCAACAGAACACCACTGGCCTACTCTCAACCGAATGGATTCATTATTGTTTGTATTGTATATCACTATTGCATTCAGGAGGATGCCTCCATGGTCCACCACCCCAGCGGCTTGGAACTGGAAAGTGGTAAGGACTCTCGTACTCTACTAGAAGAAAAAGGGGGGGAGGAAGAGGAAATGTGATGGAGAATCTAGAGAAATGTTAAAACTGAAGACTATGCAACAGGTGACCAACAAAAGCAGACCACTCCTGATTTATTCAATCTAAGGAATGGCAGTGATGGGCAGCTATCCTCTTATGCTTTACCCATGAAGTCCATGGGTGAGTACAGTCCAGAACAGGCATATTAATGAAGCAAATATATATATTGTGAGATAAAACCTATGAGAGATTTTGTGGAACACCCCATCTCAATAGCATGTGTTTAGTGGCCATGAACTTATGAATATTAAGTCATCATGGCCTAACATTGTGGATTTGACTAGTTTAAGTATAATTCTATAGGCACCATTCACCACAGAGTGGGATAAATAAGAGGTATATATACAAAAGATAACTTACCCATTCACAGTCTCACCGAAGTCTGAAGAATGGCAACAAGTGGAAAACAATAATCCAATGCCAATAGTGAAAGATTAATATGTGTGGTGTGGTAGTCCACATGGATGATGGAGATGAGACACAAGGGAAAAGGTAAGGTGCCTAATCTGGTGAGAAGACACCTGGAACAAATTAGGGGAAGAAGGAGACAAGGAAGTATAAGCCAATCGAATTATAAGCCGAACTGAATTGGTAAGGGTGGAAGGAGAAAGGTGACAAAAAGAGGATAGTTGCCAAAGGATGAAGAGAGGGAATGGGCACCATGGAAGGAAGCCATGCTGGCAATATAACAACAAAGAGCATGTATGGGATATATTAATCTATCCAATCAGACTGGGAATGTAGGTGGGAAATGGAAGGTAGAAAAATTGGCAAGAAGGAACAATTATCCTCATGTTCTGCCAATGTTTTGGGAAGAAAATATCAATCTGGGTAAAGGAGAAAATATGTGGAATGATATAGGGTACATGAAATGTCAAATAATTCCGACCAACGATGTCCACAGGCCAAGAGGAGAAGGAAAAGTCTTAAAGGACAAGTGGAAAATCAAACACGAGTACAGAGGTTCAAATGGAGGTAAAGTAAGGCAGTGAAGAACCACATTGACATCCCAAACTGGAAGGACCGTGCATCAAGGAGGATGACAAATTTGGAAGGAACACAATAACTGTGAGAGGTTTGGAGAGATAAAAACTTTATGATATTGGGAAAAACAAAAAGTGTGGGATAAGGCAGCCCAATAACCCACGAATGAGGAGACCGAAGTGAGGAAATCCGTAAGGTGAGGAAAGGAATGGTGAGTCAAGCAGGTGAAAACCCCCAATCCAAAGATCAATGGTGGAAAATGTTCCACTTATATTGATAAACATCCCTATAGAAAAGGTGAATGGAACGAGCTAAAAATGAAGCAACTTGCTGGGTCAATCAGGATCTTCTCACCAAAGACCAAATAAAAACCAGGTGTGTGAAGATGAAGGGCTGGATGAAATGCTGGTGGCTGAGGTTGGCGTAGAATGGATGGATCGGGCAGCCACAGAAACCTATGGTTGTGCCAGGCAGTAAGGAGGAATCAGAAGGAACTAACACAGAGTGGTGTGGATGATCGAAATCACCCTGAGTAGAAAACAGATGGGAGGATACACATAAAGGTATTTTTTGGTCCAATCCTGGCTGAATGCATTAACAGCCAGTGCAAGTGTATGAGGAACCAGAGACCAAAACAGAGGTGACTTGATATTGAGGAATGTGGCAAATGCATCCATGTGAGGAGTACCCCATTGAAAGCATAGCCAATGGAAAATGAGAGGATTGAAAGATCAATCTGTTGGAAAAGATGATCTGTGATAAGGTTGAATGCACCCGGAACGTGACACGCAAGGAGACGAATACAGAGTGTGTGGGCCCAAAAAATGGAGATCCAAGGTTTGACCACAAAGGGAATGAGAACAGGTGCTGCCTTGGTGATTGATATAAGCTATCACTGTAGAATTGTCAGAATGGATCATGAACAGGCAATTACTGGCAAAATGAAGAAAATGATCCAAAGCATGACATGTGGCCAGAAGTTTCAACATGATGATATGGTAAGACCGCTTAGCTGGATACCACTGACCTGAAGCTTCCTGCTGATCGACCCATGCTCCCCAACCATGGAGGAAGCAGAACAGCCGCCATTGTGTGAGCATTGTCCAACCACCAATGCAGATCATTAAGAAGGGAAGAAGGTAGGTAGTGCAAAGTCCACTGAAGAGAATTCATATGTGCTTGACCCAAGGGGATAAGGGCTTCCATAGAAAACCACATTCCTAAAAGCAATAGAACCTTGCAAGCAGTATTAGAGGGAGCAGTAAGGACACTGGAGAATTGAAATATCCATCGAATAGAGTCGATGAGGAGAAGGTTGTGCTCAACTGAGATGAGTGTTGAAAAAGACACCCAAGTGGACAGGATATTGGGTAGGTATAAGGAATGACTTTTACAACTTGATTAACCAACCCATAAGTTTGGTATGAGCTAACAGAAGCCAGTCATCCCTGTAATGGTGTAAGCACAACAACTCCCAAGCATGCAATTTTGGGTAAAGGAAGGGGATTATAAGAAATTAAGGAAATGGCTAAAACAGAACACCCCTGAGAAATTGTGTCAAAAAAAAAAAAACGTATTAAGCCTAGCTGATTCCACAGTAGGGGCATAGGAAGATATGGCAAAATTAGTTGGAGGAAAAAGGCTGTCAAATTCCTTGTCATCCCAAACAGGATTGGCATGTTCAGAAGAATGATAGGCAACATCAGGAGAACAAGGTTGGCACATATAACTATCAATCTCATGGCAAAAGAGAGCCGATAATTCCATAGTCAAGTTCCCCATACCCGCAGCCTGTGTAAATTGTGCTAGTAGAAGGTATTACCTCCAAAGAGGTAACTTGGACTTCAGAGTTCATTGTTAAAAATGAATGATCAAACACAAGTGTTAGAATAAAGAAATGAAAAACTGGAAAAACAAAGAAGTTATTCTTAAGTTTGCAAACTTTTGTAAAAATGAAAAGAACAATTCCACTTGAGAATAAAAGACAAAACAGTTAAGTGAAAATTTGAAAAAAATGCACAAAGTCTAAAGAAAAAACAATTTAAAACACAATGAAAGACATCTTGACAAGAACACTGCCAAACAAGAAGTGATAGTTCAGTAGAATTGAACAGAGGGAGTCACATGCATCAGGAAGGTGTGTCGCACTCCTGTTGGTGGAGGGTGTTGCATGATGATTTACATGTGAAACGTATTTGAAGTCAAGGCTTGTGGCATGCGCAAAATGTTTTTGCATATAGAGGGAAACACTGAATGAGAATAGCTATTTATATGAGTGGAGGTGGTAATGTACTATAGGGTAGTGTGCTCTGATAGAAGACAGCACAAATGTTCAGCAATTTCTTTTTAAAGCAACCTTCCATTTGACAACCTACATGACCAAGGATATGATATTGATTCTACTATGTTCAGCTATTACAATGGACAACAGACATATGTAATAATAAAGGCATATTAGCAGTCTCTCAAACTGATAGAATTTCATCAAACTTACTTGCACTTGGCAAAGATGGGGCTCACAGAAGTTAACCCAAACTTTAGCTCTCTTTATCCTTCAATTCTAACTCTGCCAGATACATCTTATTTTTGTGAATGCTCTTTCTCTGCATTAAAGCTTGTCAAGAGCAAGCTTCATAGTACAATGGCAGAGCAATTTCATGGTGCTGCGGGTTGAGTGAAAATGAGTAAAATGATGAACTTAGATGTTATTCATGATCTTTTATGGAATCACTTTGCAGTTGATCATCAATGAAAATAGTTGTTCATATGTCCCTTGCAATGTTTTCATTACATATATTGTGTGCACGTGCTGTATGTTGTACATACTATTACCATACATATTGTGTTACATTTACTATACATATGGAATGATATTCTGAACTACATTATGATGTCTGCTATTATTGTATAACCTATTACTTTTTTACAAAAACAAGCAACTGTTAACAAGTACACAGCTTATGTAACCTAGGAAAAGCATGTACATATATTGGTGTACCAATATCAGCAATAAACATTATTGGATATTTTAAGTCACTCCAATTTGTTTTGTCTGCCTGATGACTGTGTAAAGATGAAATAGTATCCACAATAAAAACACTTTACTGTAGTAATTATAAAAGATGGAATGGGAGATATTGGGACTTAACCCCTGACATTTGTGTTTTTAGAGCACTTGTTTGAGTCAAAGGTCCTGCATTCAAGGCTTTGAGGGAGATTTCTCTTGAATTTATATTGTTGCCAAACCAGCTATTATCATACCAACATAATAAATCAGGAACTTGCCATGGCTGAAGCTTAAACCTAAAACATTTATTGCACACTTTGACAAAATAAAGTTGATGCTCTGCCACATGAACTACCAGGATTAAAGTCCCAAGCAGATAACTATCACCTAGACAAGTAAATAGTATAACAGTTATGTGACACCAAGTGATGAGTTACCACAGCAACCAAGCTTTGCTTTTGAAATTTCGTTTTAAATAAAGACCTTATATTTGGTCAAGATGTTAAAATAACTTTCCAAGAATAAATGCAATCACTCGCATACTTACACAGTGAGTGTGTTACACTTACAGAAAGATTTCTGAATGGAGTCAGAATAACATAGGATTAAAGCCATGGGCACAAGCCTAATGAAGTGATTAAATAATCTATAACTTGTTCAGTGACATCTATTCTCCAGTACTTGATGCTTACCAAAAACACAAACTGCAAGGAATAATTTCTAAACATATCCCCATAATGCTTCAAGTGAACAACAACTTTCTTAGTCTTGTGATCTTTCTTTATATATGTACAAAAAGTAATGAAAAACACAATACATTTAAACAAATACTAGCAATTGTTAGAATAGAAACAAACTATGAGGATAGCAATAATTAAATATAAAAAATACAAAATACTAGAGCTAAATAAGTCCTAATTAGCATTAAAAGATTACAATCCTCATTAAGAAAAAAAATCCACAAAATGTAGAGAAGAGAATATTTTACAAACCTGGAGAATCAGCCACCTTTGATGGTGTAGTCATGGGTGAAGTTGGTGTAGTGACTTCAGATTGAAAGGATACAGGTGTATAAGAACTTGCTGTTATATTAGCTGATAATAAAGTTGGAGAAAGATCTATCAAGTCCCTAGGAATATTCTGATGAGATTTAGAGAGAGAGGTGAAGGTTGTTGACTTGTTCTTAGAATGGCCATAAGAAGCCTCTGTAAATTTAATTGTTTGTTCACATTCACAAGTTCCTCTATATACAAAAGAACAGGTGACAGGAACCAGGGTAGGTGGTTCAGAAGCTTCAGGTGTTGTCAAACATTTTGAGTTTAGCTTAAAATCCCCTTTAATGTGGTGTAATGCAGATCCACTAACTAAAGTGTTACTGGTGGCATTAGGTATTGGTAAGTACCTAGGTCTTGGTAGTTTATGTGTTGACCTCTTTGTACTATCTTTAACTGAAAATAGGGATTGACATCGAGATAAGGGGGAAAAACTATATATATTCTCACAGGATTTCCGAGTTCTTAAAGGATTGTGTGACACGCTTCTAACTATTTTCTGAAAAGATGAAACATTGGAGGTGATGTGCTGGTCTTCTTCAAAAACTAACTTGTCTGTCACTAAAGTTCTTTCTTGCTTAATGTTTAAATCAGGTAAACTACTCCACTTTCCCCAAAGCATCTTCTGTTTCCTGGAGGTTTTAGAAGTGGTAGATAACACAGAAGCACTCAGATCAGTACCATACACTTCCCTCTTGCACCCAAAATTAGTGTTCAGAACAACAACTCGTAATTTCTTGCGCAAATGTTGCTGAAGATTTGGACTCACACGTGAAAGCATCTGGCACACTTGAGAGAAAATAGGGGAAATTTGAAGACATAACTGAGCACCTGTGAGGAAGACTTGTTCAGCTACCCTGACAACTGTAATGTGGGGGTGATGGAACTATCGGAATAAAAACAAAAAAAAAGAGTTAATTTTGTCACTAAGATAACTCACATACAGTGAATTACTTTCTAACATAAAATACAATAACATTTGCTTTGTATTCTATTGGGAATTCAGTTGAAAAACCAAGTATAAATTAAAAATAGTTCAACACTTTATATTTTATCTAACTCTCAAGCAAGAATATGTTTTTAGAAATAGTTAAAACATGAAATCTCACACCTATAAACACATGCTTCATATTTTACATTTAAACACATACAAAAATTCCCAATCCAGGTGAATCTGAAATGGAATTATTAATCAAAGAAACTACTGATAAACAAATATTGATCTACTCTCAATCACACTTCCATGCAGTTCCTTTTCATTTAAAACGTTTTTGAATGGTTTAATTACTCAGTATTTACCTTTACCCATGCCCTATATTCCCCCATATTCATTTCATGTATCCATGAATATTAATTTTATATTTATTTTCTAACTGTGATTTAATAACTTATATTAATCTTACAGCTTCACTGACTTGATCATTGTTTGCTTTTTTTGATTATATAAAATGTAATTATTTAATTTTTTTTTCACAGAAAGCTGCTGAAAATAGATTGTGTGTTGTAATAAAATGTTGTTTAGCAGCTGTCTTGTTCTTCATGTTTGAATTATGATTCCCTGCAAATTAATTCATTGCCAGCACATACTCTATCTTAAATCTGAATACATATCTATTATAATAATACAGAATGTCATGTATCCTCACTGTTAGTAAAATTTTTTAGCCATAATCTCAAAAACCTAAACACATAGTCTGTATCTTAAATCTAAACACATGTTGAAGATCTGTACCTTTCATTTAAACACATACATACACAATCTTAAATCCTAATATATACTCTGCATTTTCCATTTAAACATAATCTGTACCTTAACTCTAAAGACATAATCTGTATTGTAAATTTTCAAACACAATTAAAGATACCTCCTTCAAGGAGAGTTTATACAAAAACAAGATGTACTATTGGTTCAAGAATATACAAACACTAATACTAGATATTACATTGACTATTAAACATTAATTCACATGGCTGTTAAAATAGTCTTTTTAGTCCAACTAAAGTACCTATAGCTAAATCACCTAAGTTACTGTTCACTTAACTTATTATAACAGTTTAAAAGTTTGTTATTTGCCATATAATTAGTTACTCAATACTGCAGTTATAACACTATACTATTTCATATTTATCTGTATACTATAACATAATTTATTTAATATACACTTGTCCAATTGTTACAATGATAGATATTATTTACTGTATATTATAACATCATTTATTTACCATACACTTGTCTAATTGTTACAATAATATATATTTTATTTACTGTACTTTTATCAACATAGACATATACAGAATTTTTGTAGACTATGCACTACATGGAGATGTTTTCCCTCCTCCTCAAATGAATTTAAACGTATTTCTCATTATTTAGTTTCCAAGTTAGAGCAAATATAAAGACAAAAGCTAGCAAGTAATATTATGTGATTTGTATACTAAAGTAATCTATGATTTGAAAGTTGTATATTGTAAAATATCATGCACAGAAAAGCACTTTAGTGCAAGAAATTCATTATAACATTTCTTAAACACAAAGTGCTCACACATAAAATACCCTGCAACAGATCATGGCTACAACCAAAAAGTCAGTAACTTCAAGTGTTAACCTTTTATCTCTTCAAACATAGTTAAAAATCATAATTATATTTATTAATCTATCACAAAATTTGGGAATCTTACCATACATATCCTTTTTTTTTATATACTTAAAACTCATACTTATCTCTTTAACACAAGGTCATAACTCTAATTAATTAATTATTTTACTAACAAATCATTGTTAAAAACAACAGTAAAATTATTAATTACTTTGAATCACCACTCATTAGTACCTCTCACATGTGTTGACTATCTGACTGATATGTCAGGTGAATACATAAGACCTAGGAGTACAGAGATGTAATTATATCATAGTTAATTTGCATGTTTTTTCCAGTCATACCACGTGAAGGATATTACTGAAACAGAACAGCTGACAATTGCTTAGCTCACACACACAAACAGAAAAATTTGGCTTCAGCAGTCCTTACAGTGTAAACTTCAGACAATAAATGACTGGAAATATGTGATGTGGTCAGATGAGGTGTGTTGTTTCAAATGTTTTCTGTATCAAGAGTAAGGTAACAATATGTTGCTATGACAGTGTAACATGCTGCTTTTTTCACCTTAATAAACAAGAACTCTTCTAAGGTGGTAATGCGACAATCTAAAGTGCATGTATTGTTCAACTCTGGTTTCCAAAGCACAACAGTTATTTCTGTTATATCTTCTTTTACTGGCCAGCACAGTTATCAGATCTGAATCTGATAACATTTCTTTGGGATGTACTTGAGTATTAGATTCTTCACTGAACAATATTGTCAGTATTTGTCCCAAGGATGTATTATACATCTCAATGAATAAAAATACAACTAAACAAAACAGTTCTGGGATCTTGTTCAGTCTATGCTACAATGACTGCAGAAAAATGTGTGTCCTACCAGATTGGGGTTATAAACAAAGTAGTTAAAATTTCAGTCTTTCATTATCTTGATTACCCCCCCCCCCCTCCAAGAAAAAACAACAAGAACAAACAAAATCCTGAATCATATTAATTATATTTTGGACAAAAACAACATCTGTAGTTAAAAAAACAAAAGTAGTTAATATTCCCTACATTATTGACGAAATAAAAACAAAGTTTAAAATGTAACTGCATATAGAATAAACATTTTAAATAGATAAACCTTTTTGTGTCAGTTGAGAAACTAATGATTTTAGATTGGTTTCTTACATAAAAGTTATGTTTATTTAAATTATCAAACTTATACTCAACTCTAATGAATGTGGGGTCTCCACCTCCATCCCGGGCTCTGTCTCGGCGATACAGTTATTTGTGTGGTCCCTGAGGCAAAGTTCTTGGGGCTTATCTTTGACCGTAAGCTTAGCTTCATTCCACACATCAAGCAGCTACGTGTCAAGTGTGCAAGGGCTCTGAACATCCTCCGTGTCCTCTCTTCCAGCTCTTGGGGAGCGGATCGATGTTCTATGCTCAGGATCTATCGTGCTCTAATTTGATCCAAACTGGACTATGGGTCTTTGGTCTATAGTTCCGCCAGGACCTCGGCCCTGAAGATGCTGGACCCCATTCACCATCTGGGGCTTCGGCTCTGCACCGGTGCTTTTCGCGCTTCTCCAGTCCAGAGTTTGTACACTGAGTCCCATGAATCTTTTCTTCACCTCCGTCACTTGCAACTTTCTTTACAATATGTTACTAAGCTTCGATCCTTACCACGGCATCCCACCTGGGATTGTGTTTTTCTTCCTCGGTGGGCAAGGCTCTTTCAGAACAGATGGTCTGCTATTCCTCCGGTTGGCCTTCGTATCCGGGCACTACTGGCTGAATTGGGTCTGGCATTGGATGACATTGCTGCCCCCAGTGATCAGCCCATTCCACCATGGCTTATTACCATTCCATCCTGTGACCTTTCCTTGAGTCATCTGGGGAAGGCGGATACTCCCGATTGGAAGTATCCGTCTTCTCTTTGCTGAACATCTTTCGAGCCATTCTTCTCTTCCCATTTACATAAATGGTTCGAAATTGGGTGACTCTATAGGTTCTGCCATGGTTTGCTGTGGCTCGGTACTTGCTCGCAGGATCCCCTCTACAGTTACTTTGTTCACTGCCGAGTTGTATGCTATTTCTCTTGCCCTGGATCATGTAGAAGCTATGCAGTACAGTAATTGTACTATTTACACTGATTCTCTTAGCTCTCTACTGGCCCTGGAATCGCTTAACGTTAGTTCTCACCCTGTTCTTGTCGATATTCAACACCGATTGGCCCACTTTTCTCTATCTTCTATTTCCATCCAGTTTTTCTAAGTCTGTCTGCTATGATGCCATCACGGTCGTGCCTGTCCCATACATGGACTATGGTCCTGTCTTCAAGGCGCGGCTTCATGCCAGTTGGCAGTCGACTTGGAGTGAGCAACGCCATAACAAGCTTTTCCAGATCAAACCTTCTGTTGCTCTTTGGCCTGTTCTCATCAATATTCAACACCGATTGGCCCACTTTTCTCTATCTTCTATTTCCATCCAGTTTTTCTGGATCCCTAGCAAAGTCGGTATTCACGGGAATGAGCTCACTGACACCGCAACTAAGTCTGTTTGCTCTGGTGCCATCACGGCCATGCCTGTCCCATACATGGACTATGGTCCTGTCTTCAAGGCACGGCTTCGTGCCAGTTGGCAGTCGACTTGGAGTGAGCAACGCCATAACAAGCTTTTCGAGATCAAACCTTTTTTTTGCTCTTTGGCCATCTTGCTTCCGTAAGGATCGGAAGGAGGAAGTAGTCCTGGCAAGGCTACGCATTGGACATAGTTTTTTAACCCATTGTTTCCTTTTATCAGGTATTGACCCACCGATGTGTAACCATTGTGACACTCAAGTCACAATAGCCAACATTTTACTGTCATGCTGTCGTTACGACCGTGAGTGGTGGGACCATTTTAAAAAAATTTTTTCTAAAAGTTTACCCCTGTCGCTGGACAGTGTCATTGGTAATGGTGACACTGTCTGATTAGATTGTATTTTAATTTTTTACATACTATACGTCTTTTTTAATTCTATATAAATCTTATACCGACATGTATTGGTTTTAACTTGCTGTTTTTTACATTTTACTTTAATTTACCTTCATTGTTTTTACCAGTTGTTTGCCACAGATAGCTTCGCTGCTTTGCGCCGTAAAGCACCAAACAACCAACCAACCAACCTAATGAATGTTGCTGATCAATTTACTAAATATAAAAAACTATATATTTAAAAAACTCACCACATTCACTGCAAATTCCAAAGTGGAGATTAAAAGTTCACAATTTTTCATCGTTAAGTTGCACTTTCTGTCAAATTGGTTCTTCAGTTCTTCACAGTGTGGCAAGAACTCCTGAGGAAACTCATCCATTAAGCGTTTACTCACAAGAAGCCTACCTAAGGCCCACTGCCAGGCCCTAGGAACACTATACGATGGTGAAGTCTCAAGAATACATTTCAAAACAAAAGGAACTCCTCCTAGACTTTTGTGATCTGGAAGAGTTTAATTTTATATTGCTTTTTTTATTGCTGAATAAAATGATAAATGTTATTACAAGAATAAAACAATAAATTCATTTGTACTTCTAACAAACAGGTTTCCTTTATAAAATGGGATTATGTTGAACCAAATATTTTTAAAGGCTACTTACCACTTATTCAACAAAGTGTAAGGCTAATTACAAAGTCTCTAATGTTTTAAATCTCACCTGAAATGTGAGCATGAGTGCTCACTGCCAAAGCTCCTGCTTGTCCTCTTCCTAATTCCATAATGGTTGCTATGCTAAGCTGCCTTGTTTTCCTTTCAAAAAGCGAAAACAATGTGGGTAAAAAAAATTACAAAGATATGCAAAAGTAATAATTTCAACATAACATGAGAGGTTTTATAATAAATACCAAAAAATATTTTTAATATGGACATTTCGGAATTTCTTTAAATTATTTCATCAGCGTTAATATTTTAAAAACAAGGTAGTTCATAATATTCGAACTACAAAAAGCAACATTAGCACTGATTGAGTTTTTGTATTCAATCGAAAGTTTAGAAAGAACAGATTTAAATGGTAAGAATAAAATGGAATGTACGATAAAACATGCGGCATACACATGTTTAGTAAATAACATTGTTAAGAGAAACTATTATAGAGAAAGGCATCAATATAAGTATAAACACTTTATTTAAAATAATGATAAATAAGAGGTTTATAAGTCAACACCATTTGTCACTCACTCACTTTGTGTGGATTTTAACATAATAAGAAAGTAATTTATTATCATTAAAATAGTATTTTCTAATTTAAGTTTGATTCCCTGTGGTGAACACAGCAGATAGCCCAATGTGGCTTTGCTCTAAAACAAACAAACTTAAATATGTGTATTTATGTCTATTTGTTCTTTTTATACAGGCATCCTCTCTGTCAGAAAACAAACACATTAATAGTATAAAATTTATCAGCAATAATAGCTTAAGTATCAAAAAACTGTATAAGAAGGAAATATGTCAATGTATTGATTGCTGGAGCATGTGTAAGACATAAATATAATTATTAGGAAAACATGAAAATTAATACATTATAGGATACAAGTTGATAATTTCTGCAAGAGACTATAAACAACTTTTTTCATAACAGTTGTTGTTATTATTTTTTAAAATTGATTTCATCTGTTCTCTTGGTTACTTTGTGAAGTTTTTCTAAATTAAGAATTATTTAATAATACAGCATTCACACATGTACTTTATCATTTGTATTGAATTATTGTTATCATTTATGATTTGGTGTACAGCTTATTTTGGCTACATGAAAGTGCAAAATTTACATATTTGCAAACAAAACTAATTACAGTCCTATCTAGCACAACTCTTAGCTAATAATCCATTTATGTGAATATGCCCAAACCTCAAATCAAATTCTTACCGGTTACTGTCGGCACATTTTAGCAGTACTGCCTTTACAACAGGTTCCACCATGTTTTGAAGCCATCTTATTGTTTTCTCGCTTTTACATTCACTGTAGGCCAAAACAGCTCGCAGACATCGCTAAACAACAAATTCATAGTTTCAGAATAAGATCTTTCAATTAATAACTAGTACATTATGATATACAAATTTCAAAGATGTTTCTAGTATCTGTGAAGTATTCAAGGGGGCAATATTGCATTATGTATTTCTATGAACTATGGATTTATTATTAAGTAAAGTAGTACTTAATAGTAGGGATCATGATGAAACAAAATGATGGTCATAAAAATTGCCCTTTTAAAACCACCTTTAAAATGTCTGAACATACCAATGGCTATTTCACAGTATTGTACTTATAAAGCTGCCTAAATCACTATATATATGTGTTAATAGAGTAAATCAAAAGTTATCATTTTCCTAATCTGAAAATGTATTTCCAAACATACTTACCTCTGCTGACACTTATAGCTGTTTCTCGATCTCCATCTTCCGTTGTTCTTTGCCACCTAAACACCTTGCTCCAGTCTTTTATACCCCACTCGACTGCCCGTGGCAATATCTAATTTGCAAAACTTTACAACAGCCCTCAAATGCCCTCTATGCAGGTACTATATATATACACTGTATGCAGACAGTATAATCACTTTTTCTAGACCTACTCCATCCCAGTCACTAACACCGGCTCTTAGTAGGGAGGAAGGGAGGGAAAGTGTCAGCAGAAGTAAGTATGTTTGGAAATACATTTTCAGATTAGGATAATGATAACTTCCAAAACATTCACACCTCTGCTGCCACTTATAGCTAGAATCCCACAGTGAGAAGGTGGAGGAACCGGTGAGGGCATAGTTCATACAGAAAGCATCTGCACAGAACAAAGGTGTACCACGATAAGTGGTATCCAGGTGGATAAACTGCACTACATCCAGAACAGGTATGCTCTTCACCCAGAACTACTGAAAAGTGAAAAGGGTGGAATATTACACAAATAAGTATGATGGGCCAGCCCCAACCACACAGCTATGACTCGGGGTTGGATTTAAGGGGTCATGGTACCCATATCCCACATTGGTGGCCAGGGCAGTTGGAACGCAAATATATGCATATTTTTGTGATAGGATCCCTATCTGTAGCCAAGGAATGATGCGTTTCGAACTAATGGATTTATGAAAGAGAGAAAGCAACACCAAAGTGGACTATCCTTCTGATCAACCTGAAGAAGTCCAAAAGGCAACATCCCAGGCTCAGATTGACAGGATCATATATGCCATACTCCACCCAAGGTCCAGAACTCATCCAGTCTGGATTGATGAACAGTCATCTTCACTCCCAAACAAAGTGGATAAGGAGAATTCCACTTACCCACGGAATTATGGAGAGGACATGGAACACTGTTTCACCAAGGGCCTAAGACAGGATTGCATTGTGTTCGGATTTACGAAGAGATAGTAGATCCCCTGTATGAATAACCTAGGGGTCCAAGCACACCCCCACTGGATAGCTTAGCATCAAATCTGGACTGATTTTATGAGTAGGATCCCGTGTAGGTAGGTCCTGCTCCTACCAAGATATAGGAAAAACTTCCAGAGACCTGGGTGTGGTAAGGACTCTCTAGCTCCGCTAGCAGAATTTTTTTTGGGGGGGGGACATGTGCGTAGTGGTGAGGCCCGAGGAACAGGCCTTCGGAGACAGTGTAACAGGTGAACCATGTTCCCCAAATTTTAAAAGCAAACTGATCCTGACTGATTCAGTTCGAACATCAGCAGGGACTGGCAAAATCCCTTTAGCTTTACCCATGATAGTCCATGAGTAGCAGTGAATTGTGAGATAGGACTACCATCCAAGATTGAGTCTAGATGGTCTTATGGAACATCTCGTCTCGACAAAGCCCATTGCAACCATGAACCAATATAAAAGTTGCTAGTGCGGAATTGAAAAAAAAACAAGCACACCTGACTGGGCAACACTGGCCACTGAGTGGGTTCCAAAAAAATAAAGAGGGACCCTAAAAGAAAAAAACCCATAAATCAGGTAAGAAAGTTACTCACCTCCTAGTCAACACAGCCACAGGGGGAAAGCAAGATCCTATGGAAGAGGAAACTGCCAGATAATGAAGTGTCGGGAGAAGTCCACATACTGGCCCACAAAATATCCTCCAGAGAACAGTTCAGATGAGCAGCCAATGACATTGATAGATGCTGAATCTGGTGAGAAGTGACATGGAGCATATTTTGATCTTCAACAGATAACCCTGAATAGGCTATATGAATCAACTTCTGAAGCCCCCTGGTTAATATAATGGGTGATAAATCCCAGGACACTGCAGGAGCCCAAAGAATAAAAATCCGGTTCCTAGGGCCACTGAACAGTTCTGTACGAGCCACATAACATCTAAGCATTCTGACTGCACACAACAAACAATCTGGGTCTGATCAACTGTAAAGATGAGAAATGCCTGGTAAATGAATAGGAGAAAAGAATGTATTCCCTGCTCTGGCAGTGAGAGTTTTTGGTAGAAAGGATCTGTCTGGATAAAGCAAAACATAGGTGGAATGATAAAGAGTCCGCTGAACATGGATGGCAAATAAATCAGGACAGTGGTGTCCAGAAGCTAAAAACAATAAAAAATATACCTTGAGGGAAAGGTGATACAATGAACAGGAGGCCACAGGTTCGAAGGGATGATGTAATAATGCGTGTAAAACAATTCTAAAGTACCAATTAAGCAACTGAAAAGGTCGTTTGGGTTGAAGAATATGAAAGGATCATAAGAGATGAGATAGCAAAGGAGAGTCAAAACTTACTATACTTGGAATATCGAAAGTTAGCAGCTAAAGATGCTTTATATAATGCAATGGTAGAAGAAGCCAAACCTCTCAAAAATCCACAACAAAAAAACGTTATATTATGGAAACTGTTGTATGAAGTGGATTGAAGGCTCTTTGAAGACACCAATGATGATATGTAGTCCATTTCCGTTGATAGAATGCCATAGTAGGTCGACAGAGGGAATTATTCAAGTAAACAGAAACTTTAGAAGTTAAACCCCTATGTCCAACAAAGGACCACATAACATCCATGCATGAAGTTTGAGTTGTCAAATGTCCGGGTGTTGAATGTTGGACCAAGGTTGTCTCAACAAGGATGGGCAAAGAGGTAGTGGAAGTGGTGAACATTCCTGGAGCAACCAAAGAAGAGGAAACCATGTCCGAGCAGGCCAAAAGGGTGTTATCAAGAGAACCTGATATGGGTGGAATGAATTATAGACAAGACTCTGGGTAAGAGACAAATAGGAGGAAAGGTATACAAATGTAATCCCATCCAGTCTTGACTGAAAGCATCTACTGCCAGAGCTCATGGATGCGGAACTAGAGACCAGAACAACTGTAGGTGAGCATTCCAATGGGTTGCAAAGGTGTCGATCATTGGAGATTCGAAATGAGAACAAATCCATTGAAAGACCTCCTGATGCAACATCCATTCTATTGGAAGAATCTGATGGGGTCTAGAAAGATGATCTGCTATCAAGTTCATAACCCCTGGTACATGACAGGCCAAAAAATATATGTCATGGAATGAGCCCAATAAAGAGGATCCAAAGCCCCAAAACAAAGTTTAAAAATGAAAATGTGAACCACAAAACGTGACTCTTTAGTGCTCATATACAGTACCTGCATAGAAGGCATGTGAGGGCTGGTGTAAAGTTCTGCAAACAGATATTGCCAAGGGCAGTAGAGTGGGGTATAAAAGACTGAAGCAAGTGAACACGATGTTTAGTTGGCAAAGAACAACAGAAGATAGAGATTGAGAAATAGTTATTAGTGGCAGTGGAGGTATGCATGTTTTGGAATTTCACTATTCAAAGAATTTTCATCTGAGTAAGTAAGTAACGTTTCCAGAGAAGCATACAGAAAATATCATGAGCCTCATCACCCTAATTATTTCACAGAACTCTTTTGTATATAGCTAATAAAAAGGAAACAAACATGAAAAAAAAATCCTTTTAACTTTATAAAAACTAGCAGGGATTGACATATATGTAACCCAGCTATAGTGCTTGTCTTTGTAAAATTTAAATTATTTGATCATGTATACTTTAATATGGTACTTGCATGTAATATTCTAGTTATACATTTTCTTCTAACAATAACATATGATTGACTTAAAAAAGTACTATTAACACAATACACTATATAATGAGGCTGACTACAGTATGCTAGTAATATAAAAGATTATAATGATATTTAATAAGGCAGTTTCACATGTTACTATTCTGAAATCTGATTTTTTAAGAAAAGTATTATTTGTAATATATAATTTTCCTATACTGAAAATGTATTCCTAATAAGTACTCTCTTCTCACAACATTGGGTATTCTCGTTCACTGCTGCTCTCTAGATGCGAACTTTTTTATTACCCATGCCACAAATGATTCCAATGTGTCTCTTATGCAAATCATCATGCATCACTTATCCACCAATAGGAGAATAGTACACTCACATGACGCATGTGACTACCTCTATCCGCCTCTTCCAAACTATCACTTCAAAGTTTGATAGACGACAGAAGCACCTGAAGTGAGTGGGGAGGAAGAGTGAGAAGTGTAAGAAGAGGGAAGTACCTATTGGAAATACATTTTCAGTATAGGAAATTGTAGCTTCCGATACAATACTTCTCTCCGCTCACAAGATGAGCTAGAATCCCACATTGATTAGGAGGGACAGGTGCGAGGGAAGAACAAAGATACCCCCCAAAAACATCTGAAGGATACCTCTGTAGATAAGAGAGTCGGATACAAAAAGGGGAACCGCACCACTTTTGATCCAGGTATAATCTTTGTAGGATGTGTAATAAATTATGAGGGAAAATGAGAGAAGCACATCCAAGTGGTAAAGAATGTAGTAGAAAAGTGATCCTAACTAGAGAATGATATAGTAACTCAATCCCACAATAAGAAAAGTGGGTAAACAAGGATGTATCACATGGCGTAAAGTGGCTAGGGCTACATCCAAAACCTCCTCGTGGGGTACCGATATCCGTGCGAGGGTAGGATGAAGATCATACTATCTTCACCTCAAACCCAAGAACCGGGGAATTGAGAAATACTCCAATTCCTGGGAATTACACAGGATTAGCTCTGAGCTATAGATCCAGGTATTTGACACCCGGTATCAAAAGAAACTCTAATATGTGCAATCAACTCCTGTGACCATAAAACAGGTCAGGACCATCCATGTAATAAGAGAGAATGAGTGAGAGCTAAGGATAGAACTGGAATAATCCCACGTATCTCTTCTGTGACCCACAATACAGAAGGAGGAAGATAGACAACCTTAAACCTGTGTAAGAACTTATGTTGATTGGTTCACTCAAAATCCAAAAGCAGCACGAGTGGTACTGACATCCATGTGAGAGTAGGATGAGGGCTCCCAATCGAAGGACATGAACTGCATTTTGACGTCTTTTATGGTTAATCACAATTTGGAGGATATTACGTCATCTACAACATCAGAACACCACCACCCTACTCTGAACTGAATGGTTATAGCCATCTTATATGGAACCCATCCAGCAGGGTGCCTCCATGGTCGACCACCACCCCAGCAACTTGGAAATATTAAGTGGTTAGGACTCCCATACTCCACGAAAAGAAAAGGGGGGACTGAGAATGCATTGCGGAGCCCAGATGAAAGACATCAACTGAAACAGTGCAATGGGTGATCACAAAACCCTATTTTGGAAAGTAGACCATACTGATTTATTCAATCAAGGCATAGCAGGGATGGGCAGTTATCCCATTCTGCTTTACCTACGAAGTCCATGTGTGGTACTGTCCGGGATGGGCCAATTTATGAAGCAAATATTGTGAGGTTATTCACCTACAAGCGATCTTGTGAAACACCCCATCTCAAAGGTGAGCAAAAACCATGGAAAGGGAAGTGCTAGTCGATATGTCGTGCAGTGTGGATTTAGAGTTAAAGAATACCTAATGAGACACCGCTCGCCACAGAGTGGGATCCATGTAGTGAAGGTATGAAGAATGGGCTCCTGAAAAAAAGAAAGAATTAATAAAGACTTACCCAGTGTCAGAGTCACACAGAAGTCTGAATTACAGCCACAGGTGGAAGGTGAAAACCCGATGAGGTCCAAACCAAGATATGATGTAAATATTGGGAGATGAACGTGTTATGGTTGGTCCACACGCCCGATTGTATGATTTCCTTCAAAGGCTGATGAAGATGAGAATCGTGGGAAAAAGTAAGGTGTTGGATTTGATGAGAGGTAACACAGAATGAAGTATGGTGGGAAGGGGACAAGTAAGAATAAGCCAATTGGATTAAATGAAGAGCCCAATTGGTGAGGGTAAAAGTGGAAAGATCTCTCTGGATGATGAAGGTTGTCATGAGATAAAGAGACGGGACTGAGAAGGAAACCTTGCAGGCAATATAACAATGAAAGGTACACACAGGACATAGAAGTCTATCCAGATTGGGACATGGGTAGAGATTAGAAATAGAGGGAAGGAAAATAGGTGAAAAGGAGGAGTTACTCTCATGAGCTGCCGAGATTTTGGGAAGGAAGGAACGATCTGGATAAAGGAGAAGATAGGTATGGTGGTAAAGTGTGTGAGTAACATCGATGGAAACAAGTCAGACCATCCATGCCCACAAGCAAAAAGGAGAAGGAAATATACCTGAAAGGACAGGTGAAACAAAGAACACAAGGAAACAGGTTCGAATTGAGGTAAAGTAAGGGAATGGAGGACCACATTAATGTTCTAATCCTGAAAAAAATGTCGCTGAGGAGGTTGATGAATCTGGAAGGAACAGATTAACATGGTAAGGATGAGTGAGAGAAAAACCTTGCAGTAATGGGAAAGATGAAAGGTATAGGATAAAATCCCAATAACTTGAAATTGAGAAGACCAAAGCCCCCCAGTCGAAAAGCCATGTGAGAAATTTGAAGACACCAGCAACAATAGGACGAGCAGCAGGAAATCCTTGAACCTGGGCCAATGTGTGAAAGCCTTCCACTGATACACTTCCACGGAGGAAGGATAGATGGACAGACCGGTGGATAAAAAGAGCCGGCTGTAAGTCCCTATTAGAAGTGGATAGTAAACAAACAGTACAAGACATTCTCCCACCCCAAAAGATCCCAAAAGCAAAAACGCCATGTGTGGAGGGAAAGAATTGAAGATGGCAAATGTCCCAACATGGACAGAAGGAGGAGGAGGTATCCTACAAAAATCCCCTAGATATAGGTTGAACACCTAAGAAAGGAGGTGTAAGGAAGGCATTTCCTGTAGGAGAGTTGATAGGGTAAGACAAAGCTGGAAAACTAGGTGGGGAATAAAATGGATAGGATTAAAATAGATTACTACCCATACAGGCAACTGAGATTCTAAGTACATAGAATCAAGAAGAAAATCTACCTGATAGTAAGCTAAGACAAAATGAACCAAAGCATGTGTAGGGTGAGGTATGCAAGTATCCTCTCCCAAAATAGAGACAAAAATGCTCATCATGAAACATAATATCTTGAGAAGGAGGGGAAAATTATCCTGTAAAACGTATCTACTAAAGGCTGAGGTATGCCTAGCAGATTATACATATAGGCCTGGGAAGGGAAGCTATAATCAGGTGGAGGAAAACTCACAAAATCTGGATGACTAGCTTTTCTGGATCAAACCTTCTGTTGCTCTGTGGCCATCTTGTTTCTGTAATGACTGGAAGCAGGAGGTTGTCCTGGCAAAACTACACACTGGTCACACTTTTTTTTAACTCATCGTTTTCTTTTATCTGGTACTGATCCACCAATGTGTAGCCTTTGTGACATTCAAGTCACAATAGCCCACATTTTACTGTTGTGCCATCATTACGACCGTGAGCAGCTGCACTATTTTAGACATGTGTTTTGTAAGGGGTTTACCCCTAATGTTGGATAGTGTCATTGGCAATGGTGACACTGTCCAACTTGATTGTATTTTGAATTTTTGAAGAATAATTGGTCTTTTTAATTCTGTTTAATTCTTTTATCTGTTATTTGGACATATTTTGGTTATAACTCAATTTATTTTTACATTTTACTATAATTTACTTTTACTGGTTGTTTGGCACAGTTAGCATAGTTGCTTTGCACCATAAAACACCAATCAACCAATCTAGATAGCCCCAAAGGCTAAATGGGTTCACTAGTTGTAAGAGGAAGGCGAGCAATATTAGCGCCCAGGGTTTCTCACAAACAAAATAAATAGTGAGAAGTATGAATTATAAAGAATTAAGAAAATGGAATAGTCGATATAATGTAAATTTAAGTAAGTGTGTAGTGAAATAAAAATATGTATTAAATGTTATGTGTAGAAGAAAAAAAGATATTTAACTCAATTATCGATTTACCCATAAGATGAACTACGAGTAAACCAAAAATAACAGACACTTGTTAAGCCTAATCAAAGTGTACAGGACAAAGTATGTCATTAAGCTCTAATTTAAAAACTCTAGCCTAATAATAAGTATGTACAATATTGGAAAAGAAGTTTGTTTGGACCCCGGCTTCAGGGGTCCACACAAACAAAGTTAATATGAAGAAGTATAAAAGATAAATAATAACGAAAATGAAATAGATGTTATATTGTAAGATTAAGTGTGTATTGACAATAACATATACATGAGATGTGATGTATTGAAGAAATAAAATATTGTTAATTGAATTTATGATATATCAGTAAGATGATTTACAGGTAATCCTAAAATAACAAAGACTCATGTTAAGCCTAATTTAACGTTACAGGGTTAAGGATACAACTAAACTCTAATTTCAAACCTGAACATGACCAATCTAACTAAATTTATGTTATTGAACCCACATAACTACAGATAATCATATTAACAGTAAACAAATTCATAAACCATAACAGTATAATGTCTTATCTTTCCAAAGTTGGCAGACCACATTTCAAAATGTGTGGGCCCCCAAACTCGAGTTGAGGACCTATTTAGGTTAGCTCGTTGAATGAGCAATTTCCTGATGAAGTAAACAGATAATTTCCCAGTTGAGGACCACCACCTGAAGCTTGTCTATATGTGCTGATAGAAGATATAACCTCTGAAGTGGTGACTTAGAATTTGGCATTCATAATTCCAAATTGAATAACCACACTTACCCATGTTGGCAGAAAGAAATAAAAAGTAGAAAAAAAATTGTAATGAAGTATTAAGTTCCATAAGTGGGTAGAAATATAAAATAACTCACATCGGATAAGTTACAAATATCACTATTGTATAATAAAGAGTAAACTTGTTGAGAGAAATTGATAAGAAGATACAGCAAAAAAAAAACTTGAAGAGAGCATAAACTAAACATCTGAGCACGAAGCACTGCCAATCGAGAAGTGATAGTTAGGTAGAATAGTATAGAGGGAGTCACATGAGTCGCTTGGGTGTGTGTGGCATTACTCTTGGTAGGGGTTTGTTGCATGATAATTTGCATGTAAGAATCAGTCAAACTATGTGAATCCAGGGGTGCATGGGAGTGAAAGGTGTGTACCATGCAAAATAATTTTTGTAACTACAGGGAAGCACTGAACGAGAATAGCTATGTTTGTAAATGGAAGTAAGGTCAGAAACACACTTGACAGCTTTTATCTCAGTTTCGTAGAAATTTACGCTTTTTAATCTGGTTGTATTGCTTTAGTTTTTAAAATTAAAGTTAGAAAATGTACAATACTTAACAAATTGTTAATTAAAATCAGGCATAGATAAGTCACTTTGGAGAAAACCATGATAATTTTGGAAATTTATGGTAAACATTGGATTTAATAACTAAGTAAGACTGACTATTGCAAGTTATAAATGCACTGTATCAGAGTAACAGTATTAAACTGACTATCATAAATCAGTAATATATATTACTATAGTGAAAATTATTTGGTGTATTAAAAAATAACACATTCTGCTGTAAGTAACAAAGCACTCACCAGACAGACCACATACACCTTGTACACAGGGTCAGACATCATACTGGTTAGAATGTTACAGCATGTCTTCACTGTTATTTCAGACCAGCAACTGTGGCCCTCAGAATTTTCTCCCAGAAAAGTTCCACCTGGGTCAGGGTTTTCTTGGCTTAATGCCAAGTTGGACTTAACTTCTTGAGTCAATCTACGTAAAGCTGTTTCCCGAACTGTCCAGCTGTCAGACATCAGGCAACAAACAAGCTCCTGTCCAAAAACCTACAACATATGTTAGTGTATGAAAACCTTGAAAAAATCACAACATTCCATAAAAATGTTAATGCTTAGTTGATTAACTGCATAAGAATAAGTTATAAATTGCATAAGTCATTATTTGGATACCATGGCTTACATAATTTCAAAATCTCTTTTTTGCTAATCACTTAGGTTTAACATTAATGTTTGGTTATCTTCAAAGTTTAATAAATGTTTTGTGTGCCTTATGGTCATGGCTTCAGTATAAAACTAGTATATGGAAACCTTCATTGAACAATGCTTATCAAAGAAAGAGCTTTTATTTTTGCAATTAAATGAGTTTTTAAGTATAAAAATAATCAAAATTCCAGTTTTAGTGATAGTGTTAAAAGACACCTAAGTACTCTGTAATTAATAAGACACAATGTATTTATAAAGTGAAATTTCATCAAAAAAGAAGTTTAAATTGCATCATTATTAATTAAAAATTACTTTATTGTACTTAGTATTGTATTTAGAATTAGAATACCTTTATCCAAGGTTGAGCTTGTTTTAACTTTGTAGGAGTTAAGGACTTGGTTCTAGGAAGAAGAACAGAGTTTGTGAGGTAAGTTGGCACAACAGACAATGAACGAGATACTGCATTAGGATGGTGTTGAAATGATGGGTTAGATGGTGGGCTGAAAGAGTAGTGGGGTGATGAGTTGTGATAGTTTTCAAAAAGTGGGCTGGGTGAACATTTTGATGATACATTGGATGTATGTTGGAATACTGAATTTGATGAGTGATGAGGTGGTGGATTGGGTGAATACTGACATGATGGATGGAATGAATGGTGGGAACTTGTATTAAGTAATTGTTGAGATAAATTGCTTGAGTGATGAGACAATAAAATGGGTGTATACTCAGGTAACAAATAGGTTGACTGTTGTGATGTTGTATTATGTAAATGTTGGATTGATGGGTTGGTTAAATGACTGGTTGAAGGACGATGTCGACATGTTACATTAAGTGTGTCTTGAGATGATGGTTGAGGTGAATATTGAGATGAACGATAGGATGAGTGTTGGGATTCTATATTATATGTGTCTTCAAATCCTTGGTTATAAGAATGTTGGGATGAAAGGTTTGATAAAAGTTTGGCATTTTCTTCTTCATTTGATTGTCTGCTTTGTATAACTCTCAACTCAGTGTTTTTGTCCATGGTAAAGGATGATGATTTTTCTGATCTGAAAGATAAACAGACATATTTGAAGGTGACTTTTTTAGAGCTTTTGAAACTAAACTGGAAAATAAACACAATTAAAACAAAAACAATGTTCAAATGTTTGTATTAGCAAAAGATAATGCTTAAAAACAGGAAACTTTCATTTTGTAACTTGGAGATATAAATAGTATTTACAAGAAGAAAAGACTGTGTATGTATATCAAATTATATATGTGTTATGTACATACAGTGATCCACTCTGATTAACTTGTCTCCTTAACAAAATAATCAAAAGAGCAGTCAAATATACTGATTGTTTAAAGACACTTAAAACAATATATAAAAATAAAATCATGTTTTCAAGCTTCATCTATTCTAAAACTGAAATGAATACATAAGGATTATTACATTATAATAACTTGCACTGTAAAACATTACCAATACATTTCATCTAATAATTATATAAAACTTATAATCTGAGTTGATCATCTTGTAGTTTCTGATATGTTGCTCATCATGTCTTGCACATATATGTAAATATTTCTAGAACACAATGGAATCCAATAGGCTAGTTGTCAGCTTTTATGCTTCTAGTAACGATATTTCAGTAAAATTCTTAGGGTTAAAAAAACTTGAATTTTAGTATACAGAAACAACTGATAATATATTTATATCCTGGATATCAGTAAAAGAAAACTTTTATTCTACTTTAACTTCTTACTGTGAACTGTCTGACGAAAATACCCATTCACTTCGACATAATGGACACAAGATGGGTTCATTCTGACGTTGACATTCAGCAGCCCCTAATAATAATAACACAACAATCTCAATATGATCAAATAAGTCCCAAACAATAAAAAGACGGTGTTATAATAATCAAAACATTCCCTAACTACAATTACCAGCACTGATGTAATAACCATCCCAAACAATTGTACTTGCATGACTAAGCAACTCTATAATAACTATATTCTTAGAATGATCAAACTACCTCTAACAGCTGCAAGGATATGTTGATATGGTTAAACTAAACAATAAGACAGTCCTGCTATGATAAAATAACATATTGAATAGCTCCAATTGTACGTTCCCACCAGTAGAACACAATCCTGGTATGATCAAACAAGTAACTTTGAACTTAACAAAAGGGCACTCATTATATTATCTAATAAAGTAACTCTAAATAATTTACAATGAAGTTTCATGACAAAGAAAATATTGCTGGAAAGCTCTAAGTTTCGTTTCAAAGTCACAAGGTATATATAAGGTGAAAACAGACAATTGTTACAATGTAAAGCAGTGCTGAATTTATGCTAGATCTGAGGTCTGGAACCTGCTTTTTTTTTCTAATCTAGAGTAGGAGCACTATAATTAGTCTTAAAACTACCTCAGGTGAATCATTAATTGTTATTTGACTAACAGAGTCAACTACATTACTCCATCCCAGTCATTATCCTATTCAAATAATAGCTTCAATTACATTTAAGTTATTCTCTTCCAAAACTGAATATCCCTCCCTCTATCCAACAATATGGACATGGTATTTGTTTCTAGAAATTAAGCATTGGTGTAAAACACTGTTTGGTGCAATAATATAAAAGTTTTGAAAGAAGTTACAAAAGCTAGTATTAAGACTTAGACATGCTACAGTGTTGAAATATGGCAGTACAAAAACCACATAAAGAAAACATTAACTCACATATAGCTATGCAGTGTTCATGTAATTTATTATGACAGCCCTTGTCACAGGAAACAACACTTTCTTCCTTCAGCATTTCTAGCAGACAGATTGGACAGATGGAAGCTTCCTCCATTCTGAAACAAACATCTAGTTTGGTGTACTTGCTACAATTTACAATGTAACAAAACAACATAAAATCTAATTATAAGACAGTTACTCTTGTAAAAAAATTACTAATATATAGCAGAGAGAAAAATCAAGTAAAATTGTACACAATGCATTTTATCGATGCACTTATAGTATTAATACAGCACAGCTAGACTTACTAAAATAACAGTAAACCATGGGAAAGCATTGAAGCACAAACAGACAGTACTACCAACATAATATTTGCCACCAACTCCCAGGGCTGTACTGCATAAAATTCAAAGTGACTGATCCCAGATGCATGGTAAAAAACAAAGCAACAACGTGGTGCAGGTGTAAAGCTAAATAAGGAAGCTGAGAAAGTTGCTAGAGAAGACCCCAAATCAGATAAAATATTCTATGTATATATATATATCACCATTTCAATTCACCAAAATATTAAAAAAACACAAACATGGTCTGATTTTGGCATTGACTTAAAAACAATTAAAGCATTCCTTTTTTTTTCTTCTCATATACATTCAACATCATACAATCATATGTCATCCTTTGCTAAAAAATGCAATCAAACCACTGTAACTTCAGTCAATTACCTTGTAAGCTATGTATTAATGATCCAGAAAAGATACTGTAGCAGTTAAAAGTGATATGTACATGCATATGAAGTAAAATGTGTCAAAGTAGCTAAATGTTTCAACATTTGTATTGGTAGCTAGAGTATTCATAATGTACCGGTATTTCTGAAATGTTGCTAAATGTTTTCTGTTTCCATGACTTACCAGTGTTTTATCATAGTTCACTAGGGTTTTAATCCCAGTTTATGAGTGCTTTCACATTAGTGCTCTAGCTTGCAGTATGATATACCATAGTTCTCAAATGGGCTTGTTAGAATTTTTACTAACATTTTCATCATAACTTGCAAGTGCTATCACCCTGATATATTAGTTTTCATCAAGGTTTTACAATGGTACACAACAGCTTCATCTTGTCTAGCATCACCCTTTACTATGGCATTTGTTCCAAATATTATATTCTATAGTTTTCTACTACAGTAAACCAGTTTTTTTTCTGATTTATGCATAAATTTACAATACCAAACTATAAAAAAGATGTTATAAACAATCGGGAAATCTATATGATTGTAAAGTGGTATACTACACTATCTGGTAAATTTACTAAAGTGTTACGAGAGGGTAAAGACAACTGGCCTCATTCCAATTCATCTAGGGGCCTTACACTATAGTGTAATTTGCATATACATGTTAATCCAGCCTGACTAGAAATGTTTCAGAGAAACTGAACACTTAGTGCTCCTTCCATAATTTGGGGCCTGCCCCCTCCCCATGACACCCCTGTATTTCATGCCAGATTTTAATTGAAGAATTTGCCCTAGAATGTCTTTATAAAAATCATTGTATTTTTATTTAAGTAACTTAAAGCATTAAGTTATAAAAAAACTGAGGTCAGAATTATGTAGATAATTGGTCAAAATTTAAAGTACATAGTAGCTGGGTAAGAGATTCCTAGAAAAACTATGAAAAATATAGTTCTTATGACCATTGAGGCTCAGACCTGAATTAAAATTAAGCAACACCAGTAGAATGTTTATTTCTTTAAAGAGTTATATAGCAAAATCAAAGTAAAAAAATGCATGGTGAAAATCATGGTTATATTGAGATTTACTGTCTGTGTCAATACATACTGAACAATTAAACATCCATATGTTGTTCTGTGAGTTTTAAATATGTCACAGAAGCAAATTTGTTATATAAGCATGTGAGGCTAATGAGCCACATGTCAATTCAATCTTCTTCTCCCAAAAAGTCTATTACATAACAACTTGGTATCAGGAATGGGATTATTTACAGTTTTAAATAGGAACAGGTCTAAGAAGTCATTCTCAAATTTAAATATATTTGGAAATTTTCAAACAAAAAATAGAGAAGCTAGAAAAAAAAGCACTGAAATGTGATCACAAATTACAAAAGAGGCATTACATGAACAAAACCAAAAATGTGATGAAACACATAGAAAGCTGTTGAAAAGGTGTGCTAAAAAGTAACAAAACATTCATCAAGAAATAAATGATACAAAAATGATTAAATCGAACAACTACCAGAAATTTTAAAACATGTTTCAGGGGAATGACAGGAAAGCAAAAAGCATCAGCAGGAAAGATGAGTTAGCAGTCCGAGCCAAGCATAAAGATTAAGTTAGATATACAGTAAAAATATTGTTAATGGAAAGAGTACAGAATGCTATATATCAAGGGGATGCAGGGCACTATTGATAATATACAAAGTCATTATTAGCCAATGATATACACATCATTTGATGATGAAGAACTCAATTTTTTAGAAAATACTGTTTGCAAATGGCTTGAATGGGTAATGGAAGAAAAACTTTAATATAAGTTTAACATAACAGCAAATGTACAACGTTTTGTCATCATCAGGTACAAGTAATTTACACTCACACAGATACTGTTGCAAAACTTATAAGAGGTATCTAGGCACCCCGGGGT